GAAAGGGTGTCACCACAGAGCCAGCACCCTTCTAAGGAGGCACCCAGCCCTCCCCAACTGTCCCACTCCCCTCACCCACAGGGCATGGCATACATGTGGGGTGCTGCTTTTGAGGGGTAGGGGGAAAAAAAATAAAAATATTTTCCCCAAGATTTTCACCTGACAGAGGTCAAAACCCTCCCTAGGGTGAGGGCAGGGTGACCACCTACCAACAGCGGGTGGGATGCTGCTGGTGCTGCTCCGGATGGTGGCAGTGCCGGAGTGTGGGTCTTCCAGCACGTTGGCATCAAGGGTAGCGACGCCGAGCTCGTGGGTGTTGATGATGCCAACCAGGCTGCCCCGTACCCGGCGCGGCTCCCCTGGGGTGAAAGGAACAGGGACAGCGGCGTTAGGGATGCTGTCCCATGGCAAAGTGGGGTGTTTCCTGTCTCCCTTCTTAATAATTTAGGTGTCAAGCAAGCCTCATTTTCTGGACATGAAGGCAGCCAGAGCAAGGTGGGCAGCGTCCCTACCTGGCTGCAAGCACAATCCCCAAAGACCCCACGGGTCCGGGCAGCACGGCGCCAACAAGAAGGGATGCTGTAAGCGTGCACCCCTGCCTTTTGCTCACCAACGTGCACTAAAACCCCCCAAATCCTGCTCTGTATCAACCCCCACGGTCCTAGCCCCAGCTCCAGCTTTTAGTTGCTTCTTCTCTGGCGTGCCTGGCAGCAGAATGCCAGCAGCCACAAAAGAGGGCACACGCAGGGCACTCGGCTCTTCCTCCGCGCTGCCGGCCGGCTGGTTCCTCTGCTCCCCAAGAGGCAGCAGGAGAGGATGTGCCTGGGCGTTTAGCAGAGCCCCTGGGAAATGGGAATTTAATCACAGGCAGCAAATGCAGGAAGGCTGGGGAGAGGCAGGCAGGAACACAGGCTGGCTTGCAGCCGCTGCTCGGGTAAGGGGTCGTCTGGGCTCAGACTCTCAGACGAGCAGCAGAAGAGACAGGAGAGAGGAAACTGGAGTATGAATCAAGGGGTTTAGATCACGCATGGAAAGGCAATAACCGTCCAAACCACCACGTAAGGGATCTTACCCCATGGGGCAGCCCCAGCCCCCCCGAGCCAGCTAGAAGCCCCCCAAGCCCCAGGGCAGACACTCACCTTGGACAGCCAGGGAGGCGTGGGCAACAGCGGACCCCAGGGCGTTGCT